GCATCATAGACAAGTTACATCGTGGACTAGCATCATAGACAAGTTGCATCGTGGACTAGCATCATAAACAAGTTGCATCGTGGACTAGCATCATAGACAAGTTGCATCGTGGACTGGCATCATAGACAAGTTGCATCGTGGACTAGCATCATAGACAAGTTGCAACGTGGACTGGCATCATAGACAAGTTGCATCGTGGATATGATGCTAGTCCACGATGCAACTTGTCTATGATGCCAGCTATGATGCCAGTCCACGATGCAACTTGTCAGTCCACGATGCAACTTGTCACTCTACAGTCCATGAATTTTAATTTTTTTCAGTTAGTTTTTTATCATTAGATATAAACGCTTCCGTAAGTATATTTCATGACCTTTTAAGAGTAATTATATTACAAGATCCACATGACAAGAACGGCTTTTAATTTTAGTAATTTACTATTCGTCGTTTTCACGCTCTGCAAACTAAAGTCAAGACAATGCCACGATTAAAGTCAGGTTTTATAGTGTCGAGATCAAATAAAATGTTCGTAAATCAGGGAGTTGGCGTCTTTGTAATTTTTGGAGTTTAATGAGATGAATATTGTATCACTTAAAAAATAAAGTGGCTTCTCTGCTTGCTAATATACCGTATAGAGGTGCTTCAGTATCTCTTTGTGTGTCAGTACAGACTGATAGTGTTTGTCATTTATGTTTGGAATGTCATAGTTCAAAACACCTGTCGAGACAAGCCTTGCTTTCCTGGCGTTCTGTGTGAAGATACTCCACGGGGATACCAGTGCGGTCCCTGTCCAAGAGGTTTCCAAGGCAACGGAACTAAATGCATCCCTCTAGTCACGTGCAGTGACAAGCCTTGTTTTCCAGGTTGGAGACCGAAATGTATTCTCAATGTCTTCGACTTTTCACTTGTTTTAATTACTTAATTATTTTTTGTATATTATTATTCGTCTTTGAAACATTTTTGTTAAAATGAAACTATGATGATGATCTTCACAACTCAAAACTACTTGTAATTTTTTCTCATTACTTAAATACTATTATAATACTTCTGTTTCATATATTCGAGCTTATTTTACGTTTTAGTACAGTATCGATTTTATAATGTTTTTCTAGGGGTTTTTAGATTCTTTAATTATTTTTTCTTAACACTTGTTTCTGAAACGTTTTGAATAACTATGCAACATATTGATTCAGGTATGACTTTGATGAATCCATTTATTAGATGTTTTTTGTGGGTTTTTTTCCAGGTTGAAAAGCAGCTTTTTTCGTGTTTTGATTGATCTTGGTTTACATAATTGAACCAAATTGGTAGATTCGTTGTTTCTGTTTCAATCCGCTATTCCAGTCAAATAAGGTTTTCAAGCTTTAATTTTTATATCGTAAGACATAAAATTCTCATTCTTTGTGTGTAGGGCTACTTAGCTCTGCCTTCATCCAGTTTAACCTGTGCGTTCTCAGGTAGAAGTACGTTATATTAGTTTAAGTCATCTAAAATAAGACGCCAGCTGCCTAGTACAAAATGGATTTAGTATAAATTCTTTTAGATGTTAGATGTTACGACCGAGAGAAAATTGGATATGAGTGCGGACCATGCCCACCTGGGTTTACCGGGGATGGAGTTAACTGTTCACCGTATAACGCATGTGAAGAATCTCCATGTTGGCCTGGTGTTCAGTGCACTACCACTGATACCAGTACCGGGTTTCGATGTGGACAATGTCCTGTCGGTTTCTCTGGTAATGGTACTATATGTGAAGACATTGATGAGGTCAGTTTTTTATAAAGTTTTTTAGGTCTTTTTGATAAGGAAAGAGCGTAGTGTAAAAGAAATGGTAAAGAAATTAATAACCATACAGTTGTAAAGCAGCTTCAAAAGATGTAATATTTTACAACTCGCTGTAAAGGTATAGATATAATAATTAGGGTGGGTATCTTGAGATATATCTCTTTAAAAGTGTAGTGATGTTATTTTAGCGAACGAATCATGTAGTAGGTATATAAAAAAATAACATTTCTTTTTTTAAATTTTTCAACAGAAGTCTCATTTTATAAATATAACTAAAAACCATAGAACTTAGGTATTGTCTATTTTGCTTCAACAAATCACTACCTCACTGGGTAAATCGTTTCTTATCAAACAGAAGAAACATTTTTTAATGTTTTTATGACCACTTTTTTCTTGATAATATATTTCCAGTCCCTGTGCTAACAAGGTATTAAAAATCAACATAAATCTACGAGAAATACATCACATTTTCAGGAACAAATTGCTGAATCAATTGACTATCGTGTTATAACAAGCAGTTCATTGCTGTCGAAATATTCCTCAATAAATTTCCAGCAGAGCTAATTTCACAAAGATCTCTTGCACTAAGAGATGTAGCTGGTAATTTGAAACCCTTTCGAAGTGTAAGTAACTTACTTTTCCTAATAACAACAATTTGCTGTTTTATTAACCACCTCGGAGAAAACATAAGTGTCTTCAGATTCTAAATTCGACGAGTTATTTTGACGATTCGCTGGAAATGATTTAGTTAAAGGTTTCATTGAAGAGAAACGTTTATTAAATTCATTTTTGTATAATGAAGGATATCAATGAAAAATACTGCTATTTTAAGCAAAGATGTTCCGCAAAAACTGGGTCTACTAAAATGATCGTATAAGAAGTGGTTTAATTTTTTTAAATCTATTTGGAAAAAGGCTAAACAATTGTAAAATAAACGGGTTTAATTGTTTGTCATAGAATTTTCACGACAAGCTTCACTAGAGCTATTTGCGCATAGCCGTTCCTGGTTTTTAATTGATACACTAGAGGGAATACAACTAGTCAACAGTATCTACCAACCATCAGCTCCTGGACTGCTCTAATTTGCCCGTATAGTGGAATTTCACCGTCACCTTTATAACACGAATTACGAAGTACGTTTTTTGCGGTAGCAGGACAAGACGCGAACCATAAACCTTCGGAAGATACTGAAGTTGTTTCCATCTACTTTTCTACCAGTTAAAAAAGGGAAAAATGATAATGTATCCACAATACATGAATGTAATTTGTGGGCGTGTGTGGAGATGTGTTTAGAAATTACTCTATATAAAAAAAAACAATAAAATTATTAGCGACACGTGTCAGAAAATTTAATATGAGCACTCAACTAACGAAATTAGCCGATCACACCCTACTAGTACAATTACCTGGTGAGAACCAATACTAAGGGATTAGGTTGAATGATGAGATAATTCAACTGAAAATTAATATATCGTTACGTCCAGCGCTAAACACAGTGTATAAAACACGTTTATTCGTCCAAGAAAAATGAGCGCCGGTCTGACATTCAAGAATAGTGACACAAATTTGAAATTTCCTAATAGATGTCACCCACCTTTTTATAGGTCTTTCCACACTTCAACTCTTCTAGACGGCTTACGTTACTCGCAATTTCTGCAATAAACTTCTGATGTGGCAAACACAGCTGCCAAAATCAACATTAACAATGTTATTGTATGAAAACGGAGTTTCGTAACAGTTGAATTTTATTCGGCATTGAATGATGATGTTAGTCCATAATGCAACTTGTCTATGATGCTAGTTCACGATGCAACTTGTCTATGATGCTAGTCCACGATGCAAATTGTCTATGATGCTTTCTTCGACCACGAAGAAGTTTGTAATGCGATCTTTCTGCAAACCATAATGATATGAAAGAGTTATCAAATAAACAAGAAGTTAATATGAGAGAGTTACTAAATAACTAAGAAGTTAATATGAGAGAGTTACTAAATAACTAAGAAGTTAATAAGAAGAGTTATTAAGTAACTAAGAAGTCAATATGAGATAGTTAATAAGTAACCAAGAAATTGATATCACTCGATTTAAAACGAACTGAGATGATTAACTGAAAAAGTTAAACGATCCGAGATACTAATATGAGCAAGTAATTAAGTAACTGAGAAGTTGATATGAGAAGATTTATAACGAAGATATTAAGACAGGGAAGTTAAAAAGGGTATGAGAGACTGATATGA